GCATATACTCTGATATTTTCTCTTCTATATCATTTTTTTTTAAGTGCTTATTTGGACTTGCAGATGGAAAGCTCCAATCCTAAGTATAAAGAGAAACAGTCATGGCTAAAGGGGGAAGAGCTTCTCTTCCAAACCAGGATCAGTTTAAGATTAAGCTGTAAACAAATGAGGGCTTCAGCCAGCTCTGCTGCGCAGGTCACAAGAGTCTCACTGTCATTATGAAGCAGAGGTCTAGGTGGGCCTTCCTGACTGTGTGATGGACTTCATCCTCCAGGCAATAATGGCCATGGGCTTGCCCTTTGCAGTTTTTCCTGTTCAGTGCCTTAATTTCCCTAATACAGCCATTTCCATCTCACAAAAAATTCTTCACATTCCGCTTTCTGGCCCCCAAGCTGTATTTTGCACAGGCCTCCATGACTGCCCTTATCACATTGGACTGTGGCACAATTCTTTGTTACATGGCTGGTTGCTCCTGGAGGGAGCCTGGTGTGGGAAAGCCAATGAAGAAGAGTTTGTGGTGTGACTAAGAAGAGACAAATGGCTGTACTGTCGGGGTCTGCAGGTGCCCATCTCTTCCTGAGTACCTGAACAGGGGTTCCTGGGGCCTGGGGCTGCAGCAGGGAGAGGCAGACCAGGGCAAGCTGCTTGGGAGCAGGACAGCAGTACTGCCAGGGGCAGGGAGCAGGGACTGGTATTTGTCAATTCATTGACAAAATACAGTTCTCTTCACTTTGTATAGAAACCCCACAATTTAAGAAATTAAGACTATGAACATGGGCTTTGGGGTGAATTATGGCCCGCAGAAGCAAACTCTAGAACTGGGGTTGCTGAAGAACTAGTTAGAATGGCAGGTGGCAACTCACTTAGGACCCAGCACTGAGAACCCAAATGTGACCCAAGTCACTCCCTCCTAGTTAACCCAACCCTACAGCCTTGAGAGCTTTCTCCTGTCTTGCTGCACCCCAGCTTGAGCACGTGGTACAAGGTGCTAGAGGAGGCGGTCAGTGCTGTGCCCTAACCTCCTATTCCATATACCAGTTCAGGTAGGAAACTTTTTGTAACTGGCAGAAATTACACAGACCATGAAACATAAATAATATGTAGATCATGTTACTTTTACAGTGGGAAACATCTTTCACAAAGAAAGAAACAACAAACATCGAGAGCTCCATTCTGGGCCGGCCACCTCAGAAAGGAGCCCAGATGAGAACATTCCAGCTGGTTTCTGCCTGCACCTGGGCCCCACGTGCTTGGTGTCTTTGTTCTTTCAGCCTTATTGAATGCTTTCTAGGACAGCATTGTGCTATCTGTGAAGGGGGAAGAAATTTAACTCTTTAAATGAACTTGAGCAACTCCATAAAGTAAAAATAAGTAGAAAATGAATTCCCCTTAACTGTTTATGTAGTTCTGCTTTCTGTTACTACTTTCTGCTAGTGTAACCCATTGTGAGCACTGTTTGTCACACAAACAAGGAGACCCTGGCCCTTGTTCCCCAGGAGCTCACCTTTGTCATTTAGAGAGAGGGAGAAGGCCTGTGCCCAGCTGGCTCAGCTATTTGCAATCCTGTGGCCTTGGGGAAGAATGGGCCCTCCTGCTTTGCAGGCATGCTGTGAGGAGGAGGAGGGCACCAAGGGGGCAGAAAGTATTCCTAAGGAAGCTGGTAACTTTTTGAGGTGACCATGGAAAGTCACTGGCTTCAGTGCACAGAGGAGATGGAGGTGGTAGGCCAGAGTGGGCAGGGAGACTTTTCTGGTGTGACTCAGTGGAAAATAAACCTGGATGGTCAGAGGAGGCCCAACGTGGAAAGCCCCAGGCAGACAGAACTGTCTGCATTTGTCCCACGGGCAATGGCAGTGGGGGAAAGCCTCACGTCAGAAATGGCTTAGCAGTGTAGACTGTCCATCATGTAGGTTGGTTGGAAGTGGGGTGAGGCTGGAGGCTGGGAATAGGGGTGAGCGGCTGGACTTGGGAGGCTGGGGAGAAGTGAAGCAAGGGGCAAGCAGAGGCAGGCTGGAGTCAAAATTGGGTTTCCAGATGCTTCTGTGTAACTGCCCCCCTTGTCTTTCTGTTGTTGCCTTCCTCCTCCATGTCCTTCGGTCTCCACCCTCTCCCCCAACCTCCACATCAGCCAAGTGTTCTTCTACCACCTGAGTCTGGGTGTAAATGAGGCTTAGCAAATGCTTCGGATGATGAGGTGGTACCCAGGCCCTCCTGGGGCAGACTTGGTCTGTCTGGCCTTGACTGGGCCATGATGGGGAGGGGCTGGGCTGCTCTTTCTTTAGTATGTGAGAAAAGCTGCTGCTAGTTAGACCTCACAGGAAGCTAGAGCCAAGTGGCAGCACCTGATGGCAGGTGGCATAGCCGGCTGGGTGACAAGAGGAGGTGATGCCTCAGGGCTACTGAGGCCGGTAATTACTACTCCAGGCCACGGAAATTAGGTCACCCTGCCCCTATTCACTCTGTCAGACTGGCCAGACTGCTGGCTCTGGGCCATCATCCGTAAGTATTCATGGCACAGCTGCCAGGGCCAGGCACCTGGACAAGGATCTCAAGCCCATGGCCCAGAGGTCCATGCACCCTGCAGATGGGTTTTGCTTGGCCCACACAAGCCCTCCCACTGTCAATTATATTATGCAGCTCCCTCGTTCCTTCTACCTCATACCTTCGCTTTCCTGGTCTTGCCCCTGAGCTTACGAATTTAACACCCTCATCTTGGCAGGGCACAAAGAAATGCAAAGATGCCTCAGGAGAATCTGATGTTGCTGGGAAAATGACACACAGGCAGAAATGGCTGAGCATGCCAGACCCAGGGCATGAGCTCACACCGCACTGTGGAGTTGAGCTTAGGTAAGAGATCTTCTCCCACCAAGGCCACGATAAAAGGGCATGCAAAGGTGAGATACCAACTGGGAGAGGAAGGCTGGGGTGCAGACATGGGAGGGATGCTCCCTGATATGGAAGGACAGGAGAGAACCAGCCTGGAGAAGGTCTGCCTGCAGCTTGGGCCTCTGTGTGATGATGAGCGCACAAACAATCCAGAAAGGCAGTGGGGGTGGGAGCTGAAAAGAGGCACTGATTTGGAAGAAATTTAGAAGACTGGTGCAGTGTGGGAGTGAAGGACCCAAAGAATGCCAGGCTTGAAGCCTCAGAGCATTTGAGAGCTGCAGCTCTAGTCACTGAGACAGGGAGCCTGAGGGAGCAGCCTGGGATGGGAGTGAAAAGTTGAGAAATTATGGGTTAAATGTGTTAGATTCAATGGAAGAAATAGGCACCTGGCCTTTAGAACCGTGGACATGGAGATGGAGGTAGGGATTTAGGAAAGCAGTGGATTAGATGAGACCCCGCCCCACAGGGAGATGTGGGGAGAAGACAGCATGAGACAGACACCACTCTGGGGGTGAGAGAGGAAGAGGAACCAGGGAAGATGACCAATGTGGACTTGGCCAGGTGGACAGCACACACCTCTGAGCAGAGCAGACAACCTTAAGGAAGAGGTCTATTAGCATTATCAACTGCAGAGACTTTAGGAAGAACCAAGCAAAGGCTGGGGTTTAGAGTTAGGAGGTGCCAGGAATTTCGACAGGTGTGGAGAAAGGGGCAACATGTTCCAGACTCAAGGTAGTAGGTATAAACCATTACCTCAAGGAGCACGCAACAGGTAGACGTGACAGGAGCAACAAAAGAAAACTCGTGGAAGTTTGAGGGTGGAAAGAGAGGAGGCAGTGGTGAGAAAAGGACAGAACAAAGACAGGATCCAGGTGAGAAGAGGGGGTAGATGGAGATGCTAATCCTGGATTTCACACCAGGCTGCAGTTCCTCATCCCTCAGTCTTGTACCAGGGCCTTGGGTCCCGCACTGTCCTGTCTCTACTTTGGCAGTTAGGCAGCAGTGGGCCATCAGGTGACTGGCCAGACTGGGGCTCTGTGGAACCAGCGAGGGAATTCTTAGCTCAGGATTGGGACCTGGAGCAGCAGCAGTCTTCCCTGCTCCCTTCTGCCTTGGACTCCTGGACTTATCATAGGGCTTCATCAGAACTGGGAGCTAGACACCGTCTGGAGGCCTGTAAGCTGCAGTGAAACCCTCAGATTGGCCCTAGGTACAAGCAGGCAGATGGGAAGTGAAAGTGGGTAACCACAAGGATGGGGGCTAGGACTAAGTTAATCATCAGAGTTCTTGGAATCAAGCAGTCATCCAGCCTTTGCTAAGCGGTGAGTAAACACAGATTTAAATTCTTGGGGGCAAAGTTTGGGTCTCTCCAAGGTCTGGCTACCCATGCTGACCCCATGGCAACCACCGTGCCAACAAGCTCTGCGGAAGTAGGAACATCAACAAGACAGGAGGCCACTGGCAGATGACCTCCCTGGAAAAGCAAACAGCCCGAGGGCAAGAAGGTACTGGCTCCCAGCCAGCGGGAGGCTGTTCTGGAGAGCCCTGCAGAGCAGGGTCTAGTAGGGAAAGAGGACTTGATTGCACTGGGGGGACAGAGAAGGGAAAGAGCAGGAAGGGAAAGGGAAAAAGCCTCCTGCTGGGAGTGAGAACCAGAAGGCTGTATTCTGAGTTGATAAGCTGAGGGTGGGTGACCTCGATGAAGGCAATGTAGGCCACCATTAGGCCACAACCCTCGGGTGATCTGAAGGAGGTCTAAAACATCCCTTGTGCCGTGAAACTTGCATTCGCTCTTGTATGCTTATTTGGATGAGTGTCTACTGGTACAGTTTGACAGCATCATTTAAAATGAAAATATTCACAATGCCTATGATACAGCTACTTACTTAGACCAGGACATTCAGACATGGACACATAGGTGTGCACACACACATACCTTGTCATGGACTATTAATCAGATTTTAAAAGAAAAGAATCAGGTTGCTCTTTATGCAATGGCATACAAAAGTATCTAGGGCCATGTTAAGGGAAAAAACAGGTTGCATAACTGCATGGTAGGCTCTCATTTAAAAAAAAAAATTATATATTGCAGAAAAATGTAAACACCTTATATGTTGGCCTGTGTATCACAAGAAATTAGAAAAACACTTTATTGAGATATCATGGACAAATGAGCGGTACGTAAATGCAAACTAATGACTTTACAGGAGCTGTTGATAGTAGTTATTTGGGGCTTAGATCAGAAAACTGGGGTTCTAAGGCGGGATACTTTTAACTTGATACTCCTAGATGTTAAAAACCAAAATTCATTCTCCGAGTAGATTTAACGATCAAATTTGCTTTCTTCAATGATGCATGAAATCAGGCAGCATCCTGTCCAGGAAGCAGAGCAGGGTTCTGAGGAGCTGTATAAATCAGAAGAATTTTATAGGCAGAAACAGGGTAAGATAATTTGCAAAAGAAAGGGCCCATGTGACAGATTACTTCATAGGTTCTGACCAGAAAATTCCCAACTGGCTGGTTAAGACTGTTTCTGGGGGAGGTTGAAACTGCAGTTAGGTGAGATATTAAGCCCTGGTTTGAAGACTTGGCCTAGCAGAAGTGACTCCATTTTGGTTTTCTTTTTAACACCTGTATGGTATAGTTTTTCACATGAGCACATATTATTTAGCCTGATGGTTTTGGTGACCACATTTTGTAAACTAAACAGAACACAAGTTTGAGGAATATGTGTTCTCATGGGGAAAATGGAACAGAATATTTGCAATTGAGATCATCTCAGAAAATGAAACACTCAATCCTTTCCTTCTGTCTCCCTTATCTGGCCTGACAGCCCCAGCCCTGTAAATTGCCTCTCTTGTTTAAATCTAGAGGCAACACAGGGTGTGGCAAGAACATTGCACCTAGAGTCACTGGCTCTTGGAATGCCTGCCAGGGCCTACTGAGCCAGCATTCCGGGCCCCACTCTGACTTACTGTGGGCTCTGAGACTTTTGTTCCCCTGTAAGACAGGGTAGCAATACTTGCTTTGCCTCATCACACAGATATGAAGATGAAATGAAACAGTGCCTTTGAAGGTACCTGTGACGAGGAGGGGAGGAACCCTATATACAAATTTAAGGTGTTATAAATCATCGTCAGAGGCTTATCCAAGGTCACAGAGTTCAGTTCCTTGCATACAGCAGGTATGGAGTAAATTAAATGGACAATCTTTCTCAAAAGATATATTTTGGGGTAATAGTAAGTTGGTCCTGGGAATAAAATCACTTTTGGAAAAGTAGGATGAACCGGTGCATAAAGGATGAGACCACCAACTGCAGAATGTCTTCCAAAAAGTTGATTAATGTAGTGTAGAAAAAATTGGGGGAAACCCAAATCCAGTTAGTATCCAAATGTACTGTGTGCCTGCTAATGCCAGGTACAGGGCTAAACTCTTTACTTACTCCTCACAGCAACCTTATGGTGTCTACTTTACAGAGGAAGACTGGGAGGAACAGAGAAGTAATTTGCCCAAGGTCCTGGCACTTAAGTGGTAGAGCCAGGATTCCAATTTCAGATGGTCTGATCCCACAGCCATGTGCTGAACTCTTAGCTAAAAAGGCAGGAAACAGGATTTAATAGAGAGAAAGGTGGTGGTTTCTCAACCTCCCACTAAAAAAGAATGTGTTCACATACAGTTTCTAAAATTACCTGGTAACAAGAATCATTATTCTTCCATAATTGCTTCTCAAACTGTAATGTGCATATGAATCACATGGGGACCTGTTAAAATGCAGATTCTTACTCAGTAGGTCTGGGTGGGGCCTGAAACTATGCAAGCTTTCCCCCTGCTGGTCAACAGCCCACACTCTGGGGAGCAGGGGTAAGAAGAAAATCCATTTTCATTTCCTTCCCATGGGAAATGAAAATGAATTTTCCCTCTGAAAGTGAAGAAATTGGATATTGTTCAGAACCTCAGTCTCCCCTGTGGCAATTTCCTACAGCTGAAACCCCACACATCTGAATGTCTGGGCCTGCAAAGCTGAGGTGCAGGCCCAGGCTCTGATCACTCCCCCAAATGAGCTTTTTCTCCGGCTTCACCCACTAAGTCTGGTGGCGCTCCTCTTGGAGAGCTTTCTCTTGCTAAGGGATAAGAGTGAGGGGCCCTGAGCCAGTGGGAGGATCCTATGGAGAGAGCAGGAGGCCCTATAGTGGGGGTAGGTAGGGGGACCAGTTGCCAGCAGTCTCTTATGCTCTGGAAATGTCTGCTGAGAGGAGGACCATAAGCTATCGTGAAGATGAGCCGTGGGGCCAGGTACAGTAGTGGGAGGTCCGGTTGAGGGTGGAAGGTTGACTTAGTCTATCTTGTTGACCCACTAGCTGCATAGCTATTTGTTGAATGCTTGCATGCATGAAGGGAAAACTAGGAAAAGCATGGAGAAGGAGCCCTGAAGCCATTACCCTCTACCTTGCCCTGGAGATGGTTGAGCGGTGACTCACATCCTGCTACCCACTGACTTTCTCAGCCTAGACTACATGTCCTGGGGTATGGTGGTGTGAGCTGACCCTTCCCTTTTCTGCCACAGGATTATACACAGTTCTGAGCTTTGAGCACGTGGCCTTTCTCCTCTGCTTTCTTGATAATGTTGGGGAGGAAGAATTTTCCTTGATGCTTCAAGGTTCTTTTAGCTGGTGGACTAATCAGTCAGTCTGGGAAAATGAGGTCTATGTGATTCTGAACTAAGGAGAAGGGATATGGGTCTGAGATTTCAAAGGAAAAGGATAGGAGTAAACGTTTGGTAAACAAATGCTTGCTGGGCCACACAGAAACAATGGGGCATGGAGAGGAATTTGAATATACTTGGCCATATCCCTCCCTGTCTACCATACATTGCAATTACAATATAGTTCTCAACCCTTCTGCAACAGTTCCTCCAACTAAATTCTTTTTATGCAGATATGGGGGGCAGTGTGTGTGCGGGGTTAAAGTATCTTCCCCAGTCTTCTGGGCCTTAATTGTTTTCAGCTCTGAAATAATCTGCATGCCACAATGGCACATCTTGGGGAGGCCTGCCCTTGTTCCCTAGGATAAGAACTGAGAAATCTGGGTCTTGGAGAAAATGGAGTCCCAGTGCAGGTCTCCAGAGAGGTCTTTCTGAAGAAGTATTCAGGAACTGATTCAGAACTGTTCAGGGCTGTCCTGAAGCTGGCTCAAAGGAGAACTAGAGACTGGTTTCAAGTGGGACTGTCTTAAGAGCTTCTGCCCCCTGCCTGGGCCCTTTGCCACATCATGCCCCAGTGTGTGAACACAAAACCAAAGGGAAGAGACACACGATGGGCAGTCAGGGAGGAGGCACAGAAATCTGGAGAGGGTGCACCAGTTCCCCACTCCTCTGTTGGCAGAGGAATGGACCAACCCAATTGCCTGGCACAACCCAAATCCAGCTCTTCACTGTTGTGGGACACTAAACTGAGACCACCTTCAGCCAGCTTAGTCTGCACATCAGAGCTTAGCTCTCTGGGTGCTGAAAGTGCCCCCCCTTTCTGCTCAAACTTTCTCTGGACCTTGTGGGGGCAGAGCCACAGGCAGTGGGTGCTCAGTCTTGTTTGATGGAGAGTGAGGAAATGTTTGAAGACAGAGGCCAGCCACACCCAGAACAGGTGGGAAAGTGGTGGTGGTCATGGTAACGAGTAGTCCTAACTTGGAACATGTGAATAGAGGAAAGCTAGGCGGCATACTAGGGCCCACCAAAAGGACAGAGTATTGATGATTTCATTGACTCTGGGAGACTCAAAACAGCCACCTTTGGAAACTTTCTAACTCTGTGCCATCTATTAATTAAAACCAAATTAAAAGCTAAAAACATATATATCACCACATCTGTTCTTTGCTGTCCAAACTCCTGCTCAAGGACATAAGATAAGCAAGAATGTTTGCCCTTCCCCTTCATACCCTTCGGTACCAAGATGCATACTGACCCCACCCACCCTTTTTTAACATTGCATATTTATGTAAATGTATACCCCTTTTGAAATTCTGTCTTTCTTGCCTATCTCCCTAAGGATATAAAAATCTTTGTATGACTTGGACTCCTTGAAATATTTCTCCTATGCATGGGAAGTAATGTTTCCAGGCTTGTTAAGTCCTCAGCCAGGCTCAAATAAAACTCTGCCTGTATTTCAAGGTGTCTTAAATGAATTTTTCATTGGCAAACATTATTTTAAACCTATTGTCTGTAAGAATTGACTACAGATGGGTGCAAGCCAGATTTCCTTTACCGAGCAGTCTTAAGAGAACAGAGTTTTCAGTAACTCTAAGGCACGGTCAGGCCACTGTATCAACTCTATTTCTGGGTAGAACATGTGCTCTGATTTCCTGCCTCTTCTTTGGGGAAACTGGGGACAATCTTGGAGTCAAGTCTCTTGGAAATGCTCTTTTCTATTCCAACAGGCTTTGAGGTGACTTAAAATACAGGCTGTCAAAGCAACAGAATTAATAAAAATAAGAGGAAAGCAGGGGGAAGTAAATGTGTTAAGTGCAAGTAAGAGTTAACACCTAAGGGCACCAATTTGCCTTTGCATTTACTGACAGCCAGGAAAGTGCCCACAAAGCTGAAGTTTGTTAGGTTCTTCGCTGGTTTAATTGTTACTTCATTCCCTGTGCCTCATCTTCTTCATCTGTAAAATAAGATAAAAGTATGTCAACAGAGGTTTACTGAGAGCATCCCATGAGATAATGCATGCAGTACACCTGACACGGTGCCGAGCACACGGGCAACATCCAACTGCATGGCAGGTTGATTGTCTTCCTTGTCTACCTGATGGTGGCCAAGTGGAGGGGAGGGGTGGGTAGCCAGGAGGAGGCTCTCCTTTACTCAAAGGCTCTTACCTTCTCTTCCTGGCATGTTTGTCCCCCTGCTGCCATCTGTGTCCTATTGGCCAGCCTCTGAAATCACCTCTGTCCTGCTATGGCTCCACACTGTGCCCATACCCTGGGCAGTGTCCCCTCCTCAAAGCAGACTATTTCCAAGACGCTAACCCCTTACTCTTAGAAGTGACCTTGGTTGCAACGTCTTGACTGCAAGCCTCCCTGTGCTCAAAAAGGGCAGTAACTGATACGTCTCCAGCTTCTGTTCCATGTTTGCAGGTCTGCAGGGGCTGGTGGTTCTGCCTTCTCAGCTCTCAGCAGCTGACCTCCCTCCACTGAGTGAGTGGAGATGGTCATCTCTAGGAAACCTCCAAAGCCCAGGACTGGGCTCACAGACTGCACCAGGAGGTCTTCTTCCATCTCCTCTGGGGCGAGGTGAGTAACTTTGGGCTCATGGGCTCTGTGGCAGGGACTCATCACAGGTCCAGTGGGCAGCTGGGGTCTGGCCAGGCCCAGGCCTCTTACTCCTAGGCCAGTGAGCCCATCTCATGCCCTGTGCCACATGCCCCTCCCCCTCTGGCAGCAGGCCCATTTTGTGTGGCCCCTTGTTTTCTCTGAGCAGTGGGAGAAGTCTGAGACCATGTAGTCCAGATGGCAGCTCTGACACCTGGCACACCCTTGATCTGAAACATGGGTGATGCACAGCCAGCCTTCAGCCAGTAGCTGGATAAAGGAGGTAAGAGCACTGAGATAGAGACAGCAGTTGTTACACCCTTTAGAGGGCTTTACCTACACTGAGTCCCCACAGCAGCCCTCTTGAATAGGGCCTCTCCATCTCACCTTCACAGATGAGGAATTCAAGACAGAGAATTTCCTGTCCGTGGTTCCAAGACTAATAAGCAGCAGAGCAGGGTGTCTTGCTTTACGTTCGGTATGTAACCACCAGACCAAATGCTTCACAAAGATCCTAAATCGTGTGCACCAACACCTGACTTACAAAGAAACGTTCTCCTTTACACTGTCCTCTTTCCCACATTCAGCGACCCCATGCCATCTGCATATGAACTGGATGTTCTCCTGTGCCCTTTCTCTCCATTTCCAAGGCATTATAACTTCCCTCCACAGAGCCCTGCCTCCTCCTCTATGGGAGGATTAAGGCTGCCGATCAAGGTCAAGTACTAAGGCCTGTGCCACACTAGTCCTCTCTCCCTAGGTGTGGCAGCCAGGACCCACCCCAGTTCCCACCTCACCCTTATAGCCTGTGTGGCAGAGGGAGCTTGAGAGGTGTCTCACGAAGGAAGACCCGGACCATTCTAGAGCCGGAAGACGTTGCCAGAATTCATTTCAACGCACAGGGAATCCCTTTGAATCCCATCTCAGCACTGTCACGCCTGGTAAACCCACCGCAGTGGGCCTGGACTATGCCCTCTCCCCTTGGTGGCTATTCACCAGGACTGCCCCAGCGCCTCCCAGTCTGTCCAGCAAATGTCTGCTAACTTAGAAGGCCAATACCCCAGACCAGCAAAAGTATGCCCCGGGACAGAATGAGAAAAACACTTACAGGAAAAAGTTCTAACCAATTTCCTTACAAATAACTGCTTTGAAAATTACTGTTTTAAATGGCAGAACACTAAGACCCTTTAACGGATCTTTCACTCAGTATTTTTGTAATCTTGAAATGAAGTAAAGGTGGGAGGGAGGAGTACATTTTAAGATGCCAGAATTACATCAGAATTGCACTAGGGGTCAGTGCTCCAGGACGTGCCCTTTCTCTTTCAGACCTGACCTTGGGACCTGAAGCTTTGTAAATTACTCACAGAACTCCAACTGATGTTCTAGGTAGGTCAGAGGATACTTGGGGAGGTTAAGCCTCCATAGATGTCCTAGACATAGCAGTGATTTACCACTTGTTTATGCTATTCAGTGCCCCCTGCAAGAGACGGAAGAGAGTTAGGAGGGCTCCAGAACATTCTAAGCCTGGTAAATACTTCTGGTTTAAGTTCAGTCTCACTTTAGGCCCGTCAATTACCATAACCTTAGTCTCCCGAGGCATGATTGGCTAGTTTTGATCTTAAGCTGCAAAATGAAATGCCCCTAACATAGAGGGCAAATCTCAATAATGCCAAAGCTACATTACATACAGTGTAAGGGGCCGGAAATCAATCTTTACCTCAAAATAATTGGAAAGCTTCTGGGATGCAAAGAGAACATCCCCTTACACACTTTTCTACACCCCAAAACGGGCGTATTTACGGAAAGAGCAAAACGGAAATTGGCGTTCACGCCACATCTGCCTTTTAGTCATCCTCACAGACGGTTACTCGTGTAATTCCCGCCGCAAGGTGGGTGCTGTTAGCATCTCACCTTCCGTGAGCTCGGAGCCCGGACGCAGTGGGACTTGCTCATGGTGACACACTGCGGCAAGTGGGGGTCAGTGTCTCCCGCGCCACAGTCTCGCGAAGGGCCTGCAATCGTCCAGTGGCTCTGCACCACAACCTGGTGCTCGTGACTCCCCAGCCCGTCTTCACCCAAGGGCACGACTGCGGAGCAAAGCGACCACGTGAGGCCACTCCCTCCCCCGCGAGAGAAGGTGCCCGTCTGGCCCACAGCAAGTCTCGGGCGCGACAGCGGCCGGCTGGGCCTGGAGTCGCAAGTGCCGGCCGCCCCCGGCGGACTCGAGCGGGAGGGCCCTCGGGAAGCGGTAGGTACCAGAGCGCTGGAGTGAGGCTTGAGACGCGCCTGCAACGCGAAACGCGGCCCGCGAGGGACGGACAGGGGGTGACCTTGGTCGCGGCCTCTGTGACCCAGCGTGGCCATCTCCGGCGGCAGAAAGAGGGTCCTCCGCCGCCTGCGGCAACCGGGTGGCGGACCCCGAGAGCGCAAAGACCCCGGGCGCGGCTGCGAGGAGGGGGCTGGGCTGTGGGGGAAGGGGAGGGCTGAGGGGGAGCGCGCCGGCTGCGGAAGAGGGGACCGGGCTGCGGAGAGGGAGAGGTGGCGGGTCGCGAGGAGCGCGCCGGGCTGCGGGCAGGGCACCGAGCTGCGGAGAGGAAGAGGGGGCGGGTAGCGAGGAGCTCGCCGGGCTGCGGGGAGGGCGCGCTGAGAGGAGGGTGGGCTGCGAGGAGCGGGAGGGCTGAGGGGAGCGCGCTGGCTGCGGAGAGGGGACCGGGTTGAGGGGAAGGGCGGGCTGCAGGGAGGGGGCCGTGTTGCGGGGAGGAGGCGGGCTATGGGGAGTGGGCCAGGCTGCGGGGTGAGCGCCAGCTGCCGGGAGGGGTGGGGGGGCTGGTCGTCCCCACGTGGACGCGCGCCCGTCTGGGGGAGTGGCCACTGGCCGCGGGGCCAATTAGCGCGGCGGCCCGGCTCACCAGGCTGGGCGCGCGGACGGGCGGGTTGCGTCAGCGGGGCGGAACTCCGGGGCCGACGCGAGGCGCGGCGGGTCACGAGGGTCGCGACGGGCTATAAGTAGCGGCCGGGCGTACACCGCCAAAGTGATGGCTGCCGGCGTGCCCTGCCAGCGTTCCTTCGGCTGCTGAGGCACAGCCCCGCCAAGCCTTCCCGGGAACCTCCGCCTCGGGCCGCCTGCTCGCCGGCCCCAGGCGCGTGCGTCGGTGGCGCAGCCGGGACCTCCAGACTGCCGTCCGGCTCCTCGTTTCCTCTGGTGAGTGGGCGTCGCCGTGGAAAGGCTTTCTCCTTGGGCTAGGCGCGGCCGGGCTGGCCGGAGCAGGCGGCGCGGCGGGGCCCTGGTTGTGTCGGTCTCTCGCCCGCCCCCCCCGACCCCGCGCGCGGGCCTTTTTGGCGGTCCTCTGGCGGCGCGCGCGGGAGCAGCCCATTTCCGGTTCCGCGCTAGGGCGCGCGGCCTGGGAGGGCCTCGCGCCACGTGCCGTGCTGCCTTGCGGGCCCGCTCGGGGCGGGGGCAGGGGCGGCCGCGGCGGGCGGGGGTCCGGGCCGCGTCGGCTCAGGGTAGGGACCGTCGGCGGCGGGCCCGGAGCGCGTTGCCATTGTTGTTCTCTCTCCCGTCAGGATGAACCGGCGTCCTTGCTCTTCCAAGCCATGGAATTCTGCCCCGCTCCTTTAGACCCCCAGAGCCAGAGGGACCCGAGACCGCAGATGCCCCTACACAGCGTATAGCATTAACTCACCAGCTTGGTTTCTCTGCCCTAGTTTACAGTATTTAATTTTACGTAATATATATTATTTATTATAGCGTGCTCGATACCTCATTCTCTGTTTACACACCTTGAAAGCTCCCAGTAAGCCCCTTAAAGTTACAGACCACTGCTTCGGAGGATGGCGACCACCGTGGCGACGCTACTGAGCAGTGCCCTGAGCACTGCTCCCACCCCCTCACCGGCGGACTACCTGTGGATGCTGGTGCTGGGCTTCGTCATTGCCTTCGTCCTGGCCTTCTCTGTCGGGGCCAATGACGTGGCCAATTCGTTCGGCACGGCTGTGGGCTCTGGCGTAGTGACCCTGAAGCAAGCCTGCATATTGGCCAGCATCTTTGAAACCGTGGGTTCTGTCCTGCTCGGGGCCAAAGTGAGCGAAACCATCAGGAAGGGCTTGATTGACGTGGACATGTACAACTCTACCCAGGAGTTGATGGCAGGCTCCGTCAGTGCGATGTTTGGTAAGTACTTTGCCTCTTAGCGGTGGGTGAGCAAGTTCCTTCGCAGGCAGGCATTCTTGGGACCTGCTGTCCAGTTTGAGCTGTGTACATAATGGAATCTTGCCATTCACTTAATGAAACTTGACTGTTTTTCAGGCTCTGCTGTGTGGCAACTAGTGGCTTCATTTTTGAAGCTTCCCATTTCTGGAACCCACTGCATTGTTGGTGCAACCATTGGCTTCTGCCTTGTGGCAAAGGGGCAGAAGGGTGTAAAGTGGTCTGAACTGATAAAAATCGGTATGTTTAATCCTAAATGGCTTCTTAATTTTTATTCTTGTCATTGTTACCATAGTGTTATATATGGGAGAAGAGATGTGAAATGAAGGGTCAGATGAAAGTTTTGAAGATAGGATATTAAAATTTAAAGTGTCTTGGTTCCTGATTTTCACTAGTTAACATTTTTCTTAATGTGTTCTATTCCAGTGATGTCTTGGTTCGTCTCTCCGCTGCTTTCTGGTATTATGTCTGGAATTTTGTTCTTCCTTGTTCGTGCATTCATTCTCCGCAAGGTAATCTCTCTCTTCCCACATTTATGACCCTTAATGGGTCACACTCATTGTTATCTAAGTTAATAGCATTCTTGCCAGTGGGACTGATGTGTAGGTATGTGTCCTTGGAAAGTCAAAAAAATTTACTCATGTTCTGTAAAACTCTAGTATGTTGTTGAGTTTTTTGAAAGAAGCAAGTTCCCAATACCCAAGAAAGCATTCAGGAAGAAAACATTGAATGAGTACCAAGAAACAGAAGAGAACAGGAGTGAAAAATAAGGAAATTTATTTAGGTTGGCTTTGTCTAGTTGTATGTGGATTACTTTATCAAAATCACGAGCATAGGCAGATCAGTTTGAATTGTAAGCTTGGGGTTTCAACAGGTCAGTGCCCCCTGTAGCTTTTTCTTAGCTGCCAGTTAAATGGAGTAGTTTGGGTTCCTACATAGTTCTATAGTGCTGATCATCATAACCATTTTATAAGCTTCTAGGTGGGGGCTGTACCTCTCTCACAGTGACTTGATTCTTACTTCTTAGAATAGGGTAAAAGAACTGAGCATGGTAGTTTTTGTTTTGTTGTTTTTCTTGGTGAAAAAGAAAAAACATTCCAGACAGCCATTTAATTTACTGACCATTTGAAAATCCCTTTGAGGGGGCCCGACAGCCTTTTTTTTAAATCAAGAAGTCTGATCCTGGCTCCAGAACAAATGTAGATGATACAGGATGTTGTCACTGGATGGAATTACCATAAGAATACATGCATTTTTCTCAGGAAACAAAGTTGTCCTTTTTCTAAGGTGAATGGCTCTTGATGGTCCATTGTAATTTCTTAAAAATGCTCCTCAACTAAAAATCTGAATGAAAGGGAGATGGGTAGCTTAAACCACTTGTTTAGCCTGGTTCTAAGTTTCACTGGGGACGGTTCATGCCTTTTCTCTATATTCTGTTACTGCTGAAGTGAGTTACTAACCACTGTTTCCCATGTACTTAGTCTGGAAAAATATAGCAGTTTAATACTTTGAAAACTTGAAACATCTATAGCTTGGTATAATTTGACAGTAAATAGTTCATTGACACAAACTAGAAGTTTGATGTTTTCCTAGTAAGCGTATGTCATGAGCACCTACTCTTTTCAGAACTGTATCACGTGATAATAAGTTGCTTAAATGTGAATCTTAACGTGTAGTCAGAGACCAGGTTTTAGTGTTCTTATTAGGCCCATATAACTTTCTCCTTACCAGAGAACCAGGAGAGTTGATAGGATCCTCTGTTATGGATGCCTGCTTTATAAAGGTTTGCACTGGGGCTTTGTTGATTATGGGGAAACGCATTGTTCTGATTCTGGAGAGGCATTGTGTGTCTCAGGACAAAACTAGTCTTCTTCCTCAGAATGGTGGTGTTCTGAGGTACAAAGAAGTATGTTCTGGTTTCCAGAACCTTTCATTTGAGGAGTGCATGGCTAGGTAATTTTACCCCCAGTTACTGAGAGCTTAAGTTAGATATATATTAACTTCTTAACAGTATGTTCCTTATGTGGGTATGAGGTGGGCATGGTCAAGAATGATTGGAATCATGTTGAAAGCCATATTGACTTGAAGGTCTTCCCTTATCTCCGAACCCCGCTCGCCTCCTTCCCTGACACACATACTCCTTTGTCCAATCTGTCAATAACAGATGAGTTCTTAGGTGGTGAGTGTGAATGAATTTCTGGTTGCTGTTAGGTTTTAAATCTCAAGAAAACATCCTTAGACTGGTAACCTTTGGGGGTCCTTGGCTTTTACAATCCAAAATCCAATTATTTAACCATTGAGACACTTTCTAACTTAAGATTCTGTTTTGGAAATTAACATTAATGTTGCTTTAAAATTTTTTCTTTTTGACTGTTCCAAGGGTGTTGGGTAGTCTAGGAGGAAAAAGCAGAATGGAGGGTGAGGTACTTCTGTAAAGGACTGGGGCAGTAAACAAGGAATAGGAGTTTTCCTGTTGAGACTTAAGTTCTAGTCAGAGAAAATGGGTTGGTCGTTCAGCATTCTCCCTTCTGTTGGGAATAAAACTGAATCTATCTAGGACATCTTTTCAAACTCAGGAATCTTTCTCAAGACAAACGCTTACTGAACATCCAATATGTAAAAAACATGAGCTATTCTGTTGCAAATAGGAAGTGTGAAGACCTGCTTTCCCATTCCACATAACTGGGTGATGAGATATTTACATTACTTAAGTTTTAAGCATCTGTGTGTTAGATGGGTCATAACTAGTATTAAAATTTCTTGAGATTGTTAGTCTTGGTTACCTCTTGGGAGTGACTAAGGAGGGATCTGGAGGGACAGACTGTTCATATTGGTGTTTTACCTTTTCCTAAATGTCTATGAACTTTGACTCCTTTTAAACCTGAGTCTGTGTTTCATACTAAAGTATTACTGTTCATTCCCTACCCTATTCCCAGCCTACCTCAGGGAATATATAATTGGGCTATACAGAAAAATATGTAGGTTACTAATGCAGTTCTAACCAACCAATTACAGTTTGATTTGATACTGTATTACCAAATAGTATTTGAGTTTTTGAGTTCAGTGTTTTCCTGTAGATTAATACACATTAATCTGTTATATGGGAAGTCCCCCATAATGTCTATGGAACCCTAAAGGGTTTTGTTTTGGTTCTATTTGGGGGAGTTGTTTTTAGGTTTCTTGGAAATTTTTTTTAAAATTGTGGATAGTTATTAGAAAATGCACGTATAGCTCAGGTTTATAACCTTACTGACTGCCTTTGGCATGTGATCCATGTTGAGTTACTCAGGGATGCTTAACAGATCCAAGATTCTGTAGGCTATTTCTACTTTGGTTATTTATCTGTAGAGTTTTTTTTTTTTTAACTGGATAGGAGAACTAAAATTGAGAGTGGTTTTCAATGAGGGCCTGTCTCTCCTGATTTGGAATGGCACCTTTACGCGTTCTTCTGTTTCATTGATCTGAAACCACTACCTCTTCCTGATGAATTGATTTTCTTGTCAGAAGCTTTAGAATCTCTTGGGCCTTTGCTTCTGTCTCTTCTTCCCTAACAGTTTCCATTGGATTGTACTCAAGATAGCATTTAACGTTTAGGCTAACATCTCTAAAGTTTAACCTTTCTGTGTATTTGTATCTGTGTTCCCCTAAGTGTTTCTGAGTTCAGTGTTTTCCTGTAGATTAATATACATTTGTTATAAGTGGAACTCTTCTTGTTTCCATTCTGGAAATTTTTGCCTTGGGGGCCTTTACCGTTCTTGACTGCTCTATCTTGAAGATTCTGCCCATCAGCTAGCCAGGTGGCTTGCTCCTTCTCTACCCTGAGGTATGTATGTATGTATGTGTATATATATATATATATACACGGCTTGTTGACTCACCCACATTTGTGTCTTTGCTCCAATTTACTCACACCCGCCTCCCCCTCCCACTGCAAACTAAGATGTGCCCTTCCTTCTATCACTGCTCTCTTACTCTTTATTTTTTTTCAAAGTGTTCATCACTACTTGGCATTATTTTGTACTAAAATGCAAATAGTTCTGTGAGGGTAGGAACTTGGTTTCATTCACTCCCATATTTCAGTGGCCAGAATAGTGTTGGCACAGTCCTTGGGATGAGTGGGTGACCTAGTGTACAGTTGATTTTTATCTTAGCACTTTGGTAAGTACCTGATTATGGCATGTTTATCAGATGTCTAGATAAGACAGTTGCAGTTGCATTCTGTTGTATGTTTTTATTTTTAAGAAATCTTTGCAGGTATAATGTCAGCTAAGAAAATGTTCTAACATCTCATGGTCTGTTCCTTGGTACCTTTTATAAATGTATATTACATTTTCAGGTGTATGCTCATATTTACACCTGGATGTACCAGGTCCCTTAGAAAAACACAGGCGCTGAAAAAGACTGCTGGGGATGTCACTGGTCACTGGCATAGGAAGCCTTGTTACAAATAGCCAAACAATAGCAAAGCCAAACACAACTTGAATTCAGGTAGATGTGGAAAACGAGATCAGCTTTGGTAGGGAGAGTTCCAGGAGCAAATCTAGGAAAGGGCCTTGGGAACTACTGTGGAGATAGTTACTTCACACTGTTAATTCATGAACCTGTCCTTTGACAAGGTTCTACGGAGATGGGTTCCTTCAGCAGCTTCTAAGGTTCTGGTTTTAATCATGTTTTACAGGCAGATCCAGTTCCCAATGGTTTGCAAGCTTTGCCAGTGTTCTATGCCTGCACAATTGGAATAAACCTCTTTTCCATCATGTATAGTGGAGCACCGTGTAAGTCCATATCAAAATATTTAAATGTTAATTTAAAGTTGCTTATAAAACTTGCATTAAATGCCCAATTTACCCCTTTTTGCTTTACAGGGCTGAAATCTCCTAGAAGGTGGCTGGCCTGCGCCCATTTCAGAAGGCTGCAGGCTAGTGTATGCTGAGTTAACCTAGATAGTTTTTCAACCAGAGGCCTGCTCAGATTCTAAATCACTACCGACCTTTACTCTTTAGTCTTCACAGGATCCACCGTTAATATGATCTCCCTCCCTTTCTCCTATTTATGCTAAAAATACTGGAATTGATACCTCAACTACTGACTGTTGAAGAGTCATTAGTTATATTTGTCTTCAATAAGCAGTCATGTAGGACTGGTTATTCTTAATTTTCTCTCCCAAACGGTGGACTTCTGTTTTAAGTACTAAACTTAATCCCCTGAATCCAGTTGAATGAGAAGAGTTGGGATTTTTAACACCTGGTCTGAGTGCTCTTGGAAGAAGAACTCATGCAGCTAAGAGGAAAATAATTTGTGAGAATGTAAAGATGGCAATGCTGATTCCTTTTATGTCGGGACTAAGGCCGAGCATGGATTAAATTATGGCACGTTAATTTAACAACTGAGAAACACGGGTAACTTGTATGTTGCCAGGCAGGGCGGTACAGGCCTTGATCAGTATTGCTGTCTAGGTTCATTGGGCTTAGTGGTTGTGGACCACCAAGTTGGTGGCTTTCAGCCTTTTGACTTGACCCACTGGAGGGAAGTACATTGTTGACTGTGTACACATGCTGCCCAGGATACACATGCACCTAGAAAGGAGAGAGGGAGAGAGAGCTGGAGGAGTATCTTGAAGCTACTTATATAGCTTTTTTTCATTGTGGCCTGTTAAATTGATTTCATATCTGACTAATGGATTGTAACTTGCTTCTTAAACCTCAGTGAGTAAGGCCCAAAATGGAGTTAGCTAAGTATTTTTTTAACCTTGTTTTTATTCTTGGAATAATCAGGAAAGAAAATAGACCACTTCATGAGACTGTTGATCTTCCTTAGGGGATCCCAGACTCTACCAAATGGTGCAGGTGAAGAAATGCTTCATACTGCATTTCCATTCTGTTTTAAATTGGGTTTTTCATGCTGTGCTAAAGTCTCCCATGAGGCTGTAAGCCACCAATGTTTTATGTGGTAGCAGCAAAGCTCATAGTTCAGTGGAATTAGAAACTTAAATTTTCAGTCATTTTTGAAAAGGGAATTCATTATTTTTGTTCAGTTTTGTGGATCGTTTATAAGAAAAACCAGTGTTATTTCCCCTTTTTGACTTGGAACATGGGCAAATTTAAATTGTGATATTGATTGATTAAATTTAATGTATATTTTAGTTTGTGTGACTAATTACATGATTAAAATAGAAATTAAAATGAAAGACAGTCACTGTAGAACTTTTGTTTTGAGGGGACCTCAATTTAAAATACTAATTATTTTGGGGGGCAATAGAATTTCCACTTAATACGCAATTTAAGTCCTAATAAACAAAAGCAAAACAACCACAAGTAACTAGGCTATTGTTGGATAAAGTAGATGATGATAACATCTTTCAGGCTTACAGTCCTCTGTAGTACCTCTCTTCTGTTACTAATATAGGCTCTAGTGGCTTGGAGCCTGCTGGCATTTAAGTGACAAGCAGATGATGACTAATAATGGTCCCTGAGCCCTGTGAAAAGTAGTCAAGTCTCTTCAAGGAAGGACTTGTTAGTGAAATTACCACTAACCTGTTTTCTTTTTGTGAAAGACAGCCCTTTGAACTATTCTTATCTTTTGGTAGATAACATCCCTGTTTCCTGTTTCTTAGTTTGACAGTGCCTCCTAAGAGAGAATCTTGTCAAAGGATTTTACTGGAGGCTGGTTCAGTGGCTGTGATAACTTCCACAGAGAATTTTATCAGTACGACAGAGGTGACTATGGGGGCACCTACCTTTTTTAACATTAAAACCCGTAGCTGCAAATGTAAAGTGGCAGCTACTAGCTAGAGGCTCTGAGTGGAACACTTCCATTTTTTCATAGCTAGTTGCAGCTCTTCCAAGTAGAGTAATCCGTACTATTTTCTAAAGCAAAGGGAAAAGCTAATTTGTGAAGAAGCTTGGGAAACTTCAATCTAGCAGGTGTTTAAAGTGGGCCAGGCTGGTGGGTTTCAGATGACCTTTGGATTTTTCTTTCAGATTTGCATAGCCATTAGTACAGTAAACTCCGTGGCCCTAAGGCTTGCACAGCTGTGAAGGGTGATGGGCTGGCCTGGGGAACCTCCGAGTCCCCAGAGGAGGGTTTACACATTATTGCAGGGGGCTGTTGCCCTGGGGTTTTCAAGATGCACCATTTTATCTCCTAGTGCTGGGCTTTGACAAACTTCCTCTGTGGGGCACCATCCTCATCTCGGTGGGATGTGCAGTTTTCTGTGCCCTTATCGTCTGGTTCTTTGTATGTCCCAGGATGAAGAGAAAAATTGAACGTAAGTAACAAATTGTAGCAGAACGTTTTAACTCATAATGCGCTTATTACTTTCTGTGTGACACCTGTAAAAAACCACTATTTGGATTGGCTAAGTCAGGCTTAAATGGAAGTTTGAGGATATGGGTTGTCCAAAGTATGTTCATACTGACTTCAAATAACCTGAGACCTAGTCGTAAGGGATATTTGATACATGCTTGCTAGACAAGCTGGGTGTTTAATCTCTTTTTTTGCTTGACCCCGAGAAGTTACTATGACATGGTAGATAAAGAGAAGCTGTGGCCTACATTAATTGGAAAGTATGAGGATACCTTAATGAAAAAAGGGATAGGGATAAAATTTAACAGTGGGGACATTAACTACTTGAGTGTATAAGTTCAGATTCAGACATGTACAGCCAAGTCTAATGTATGTATCTGATTTTAGATTTGATTAATTTTCAGAATTACAGCACATTCTAGAGGTAAACATTTTCAAGTGTCATTTGTGTCAGTCATTTACGTCATTACACATTAGATTACAATGTAATTAAATACAGAATAAACTTTGGTTAGGATCAGGCTTACTTAAATCTTAATAATCCTTTCCTTACTGACAGATGTCTTGAAATCATCTTTCTACCCTTTTCATGTGTGTGATTTGTTAGTTAAAGGCTGCACTTTGTAAGTGGAGGGATGCGCAGACTGCAGTGATGTGGAATGTGCTGCATCATGCAGCTGCACTGAGGATGCCCTGAGACACTCGGCTGTTCAGGCTTTTGGGCTGCTGAGCGTACAGTACGAATGAGGCCTTCAAGACTTCTGACCTCATTTTTCTCTCTGGGAGAAGATGAGACAAGTCTTGCTAAGAATGTTTTATATCCTAGTCTGAAGCTGGACTGATGCCTGAATGAATATGTAAACATACTGTAGGGCATTGGTACTATAGGCAGAATATACTCACTTCTGCCTGTTCATGGCATTTAGAACTATAAGGTCCATCTCCTTGTGTTGTAGAGGTGGAAATTAGAGTTGTGATCTTCTGTTGATTGTATTGAACTGGGTTGTTGCCTGAACTCATAGATTGAAATTTGGGGCATTCCTTTTTTAAAAGAACATAAACTAGGTGTAGTCCAAAGTGTATTTTCATTCACCTGTCAGCCACATGCTTGAGCTACCTTCCACTACACAATGGGTTAGCAGTGAGCTAAGAATGTTTTTTACATTTGTAAATAACAAGAATACATAGCAGAGCCCACAGAGCCTACAGTACTTTGCTATCTGGCACTTTACCGGAAAGATTTGTGCTGATTTCCTCCCACATGAAAGATAGGAGGTAGGGCAAATAAAGCAGATGGGGAAATTGTGTTGAATTTACCCTGAAGTTTACTTTTATTTTTTTGAGGAGGGGAAAGGAGAGATGAGCAACAAGTTAGTTTGGTCAAAACCAAATTAAAAAGACCCTTTTTTCTAGGAGAAATAAAGTCTAGTCCTTCCGAAAGCCCCTTAATGGAAAAAAAGAACAGCTTGAAAGAAGACCATGAAGAAACAAAGTTGTCTCTGAGTGATGTTGAGACCAGGAACCCTGTTTCGGAGGGAGGGTCTGCCACTGTGCCCCTGCGGGCTGTGGTGGAGGAGAGGACAGTCTCATTCAAACTGGGAGACTTGGAGGAGGCTCCGGAGCGAGAGCGGCTTCCCAGCATGGACCTGAAAGAGGAAACCAGTGTAGACAGTGCCATGAATGGTGAGCGAGATTTCCTCTGGTGGGAGTAGTTTGACTTTGTTATGTGGGCTGGCAAGGAGGCTTATTGTTTGGACTTGATTGAAGGTCACCTTTTTGGTCTTTGCCAGGTGCAGTGCAGTTGCCTAATGGGAACCTTGTTCAGTTCAGTCAAGCCGTCAGCAACCAGATGAGCTCCAGTGGCCACTATCAGTATCACACCGTGCATAAGGATTCTGGCTTATACAAAGAGCTGCTCCATAAATTACATCTTGCTAAGGTGGGGGATTGCATGGGAGACTCTGGCGACAAACCCTTGAGGCGTAATAATAGCTATACTTCTTATACCATGGCCATTTGTGGCATGCCTCTGGATTCATTCCGTGCCAAAGAAGGTGAACAGAAAGGTGAAGAAATGGAGAAGCTGACATGGCCCAATGCAGACAGCAAGAAACGAATCCGAATGGACAGTTACACCAGCTATTGTAATGCTGTGTCTGACATTCACTCAGCGTCTGAGATGGACATGAATGTCAAGGTAGAGGTGGGTCTGGGTGACAGAAAAGGAAGTAGCAGCTCTCTGGAAGAATGGTGTGACCAGGATAAGCCGGAAGTGTCTCTCCTCTTCCAGTTCCTGCAGATCCTCACAGCCTGCTTTGGGTCATTCGCCCACGGTGGCAATGACGTCAGGTCAGTTGACTTAAAATTTTAGTGTTGCTTATTCTATTTTGAATACCGCCTTACCCTTTTTATAAGTCTGTGTGTGTGTGTGTGTGGCCTGTTGTACTCTTACCACCCATGGGACATGAATAATCACGGTAAATGAAGTAATAGCAGCTGTTGACTTTAGTACATTTTTTCTTTGGGTTACAAAGAATATTTTTAACTTTTGTTCCTGTAGAAGTCTTTTTGTCTACTGAGATGGAATCTAGTTCTTTGGTAGTGAATTTCGGGGTGTAAGGTTAAAAACTTCAAATCACTGCACTATGGAATGGATTTGTAGGTCATTAGACTTAGTTCTGTGGTTTATAAACTATTTCATTGGAACCCAGGAATTGCTTTAGGCTACCTGTAAGAAGGCAGTCCACCAGGTGCATGGCATTCCCTTCTGAGAACACCTGTCATTTTCTTGTGTATATTGGGGTTCCTTTTATTTCTTTTGAAAGCTTGGCTTGCTAAACGAGCTTGAAAGCTCTGCTTTAGACAGTCTAGTAAGTCACTTGGCATATCACATCTTGCCAAGTTCCAGATGTGCGTGAAAAGTCATCTCTGCCCTCTTTCTCCTTTCAGCAATGCCATCGGTCCTCTGGTTGCATTGTATCTGGTTTATGAAACGGGAGATGTTTCTTCAAAAGTAGCAACACCGATTTGGCTTCTGCTCTATGGTGGTGTTGGTATCTGCATTGGTCTGTGGGTTTGGGGAAGGAGAGTTATCCAGACAATGGGGAAAGATCTGACACCAATCACACCCTCTAGGTAAGTTGGTGAAGCAGGTCTTTGAGAACATAATGCTCATTTTCTTAATATACATGGTGCTGTGTAGAGCTGTCCCATAAATCACTCTTGCAATAACCAAGTTTGTATAAGTTCCTTTGTTATTCTCGTTGGTTTGAATTTTGATTTTACTAATTGTCTAATCCTTAAACATGATTCGGTCAAATATTTATCTGCCTAGCTCCAGTGGTCTCATAACATAATTTTTCTGAGAAAGATCTATGTGCTGAGTGAACAGCTGTATTATACTTGGTCTTTATACTTGGGAGCTAAGACATATTTACCAAATTCTTCAAAATAGAAATGCAAGCATTAATAGTGGGCTTCTTGAAAAACCTTAAAACTTCAAACAAGCAGCAGGCAAAGAGGAGTCCTGTGGCCTGATTTACAGTAGATTTCAGGAGTTAGAGTACATTAAACATGTCAGTGGAGGTTTTGTCATTTAATAGAGCACAATAAGATTGTGTTAACTTTGTGGTAGTGTTAGCTTTTAAAAAATCAAATTCTGTTCCTGATAGTCTTTTTGTGTTTTCAGTGGCTTCAGTATTGAACTGGCATCTGCCCTCACTGTGGTAATTGCATCAAATATTGGCCTTCCCATCAGTACAACACATTGTAAGGTAAGTGTAATGTACTCTTTTAGATAGTTTTAGTAATAGGTAGGCATTTGTTGTTTTTTACTTTTCTGATATTTGATTTAGAAAGTTTTATGCACTTGGAGTCTTGAAGAGTTCACAGTGATGCTAGTCTTTTATATAGAGCTGGCAAGTCTGTGAGGCTTGCTAGGCTGTTGGAGGGTAGTTTATTCATAGGAAGTGCATATTTAGAGCCTCTCAGGAGTGAAGTATTGAGAAACTTAATAAATCCTGAGGTCGCTTGATGACCGTATTACTAGGAAAAGGAAGAAACTGGCTTCCTGTAACGCAGCTTACATTAGTTCCTCATGGAGCCTGTGAGTCATACTTTTTCTTTTCCAGGATCTCTCTCCAGGTGCTTGGCTACTGGGTCTAATATCCATTTCCCTCTGGAATGATTTTTGGAAAAACTAAAACTCAAAATGATTATTTATTAGTGTGATTCATTATTAAAAGCAGTTCATTAAATTCTAGTAGCTCAGAAGGGTAAAAGTGTTCTTTTCCTATATTTTACCACAAATAACAGATTTAATAATTGGATTTTTATTTTGCCTTCATCTTCCCATGAGTGATTTTCTGAACCTGTTATAAAACAGCTTTCATGGAATCAGTCTCGTCAGCGATCTGGGGCTCCTTACCTTCATAATGTATAAGATTATGTGTCTACCAGAATACCACCTGCATCTTAGTGACCAGTTTCCGTGATCTGTTTTTCTCCTAGGTGGGCTCTGTTGTGTCCGTTGGCTGGCTCCGATCCAAAAAGGCTGTTGATTGGCGACTCTTTCGTAACATTTTCATGGCCTGGTTTGTCACGGTTCCCATTTCTGGCGTTATCAGTGCTGCTATTATGGCGATCTTCAAATATGTCATCCTCAGAGTGTGAAGCTGTTTGAGATTAAAGTGTGCATCCATGTGTGGTACCACTGGATGGTCCTACTCCTTTGAAGAATGATTGCAGTGTTACAGAAGACTGACAAGTGTTTTTAAAGTTTTGGAGCTGTGGGAGGGAAGTGTTACTTGTGCTATAATTGCTTTCTTGCTAAATATGACTTGTCTCAAAATTAGCCGTGTAAAATAGCCAGGTTTCCACTGGTTCCCTTTCAGGTCCCCTTTCTGGGCTGTGAATTCCTGTACATACTTCTCTACTTTTTGTATCAGGCTTCAATTTCATTTTGTTTTAATGTTGTCTCTGAAGAGATCTTGTGATTTTTTTTTTTTAAGACCCATTCAGAGCCATTGACAGCGTGCTCTGCTTTTGGTGGTTTCACCAGCCTCTGCCCTAACACGCACAGGAACCTAACAGCAAAAGTCATTAACTGAAGCTTCCCTTGTAGTCTCTTGGAGAAATAATCACTTGTACCCTGCCCTCCTGTTGGTAGTGGCAGGTTCTATTGACATATGTGGGAACTTCTTACAGAGACTAGGTTCTTTGGACACTGAAAATTAAGTTTGTAGTAACTTCTTTGCAGGCAGTTCACTGACTATTATTGCTAAGAAGTAGAAAGAAAAAGCCTTCTGGCAGTCTTGGTTATTTCTTTAAGATTTATGGCAGTGTGGGATGGATAAATGAAGTGGAATAAGAGTAAAATGGGACAGCCTTCCATGTTCATCTGTCTACCTCTTACCTGAATAAAAAGCCTACAGTTTTTAGAAAATTTTGTTCTCCTGGTTTTTGTTCATATATGAAGCACTTGGGCTCCCAGCAGCCTTATGCCATTCTCAAGGAGAGTGAATATCTTACATGAGAACTATTACCCACCCTCCCCACTCCTCTGTTAGGTTTCTTGTGATGCCAGGGTATGTGTGACATTATCTATAGGGACTGTTGGAACAGTTTTATGTTTTTCCTTTGATAGCACAACACAGACGTGTTCATGTTAGCCCATAGAGATTTAGTATTTATTTTTTTAATAGTTACAAGGTTTTCCTCTTTGGATTATTTTATTTTACCAGACCCCTATTTAGATTGTCTTAGCTTTGTTATGACAATGCTGAAATGAATGGGGTTGTGTGTGTGTGTAGCTCAACTTCATTTAAAAATCCACATTGAGTTTTTAGATCTTGGCCCATTAACTCTTTTACCCTTGGTCAGAATAGTTAATGAAAAGTGCATTGCTTTGCAAACTAGAATGATGGTTCCTGTGGCAAGAATTAGTTTTAGGAAGATGTTTTTTAGAAGCTGCACAGTAATGAGGATAAAGCTGTGCCTGCCTGACCTGTGCCTGAGAGACCACTGGTTGGGTATATACCATAGAGTTGCTCAATAAATGTTCAGGGACTGTACTAAGCTTTTTACATACATATAATTCTCAAGGCCTTTTGCAGTAGCTTTTATCCTTACTCTACAGATGATGAAACAACAGGCCTGGAGAACTTCTGTATCTTCCCCAGTATGGTGTGTTGGTAGAGAGTGGACATCAGTTGTAGCCTGTGGAGCAGGCTGCAAGTACCCTTGTTAACTATTTGAGAAGGGAGGGCAGGGGTTGTGGTAAAGAGGAAGCTGGCATTAAGTCAGTAGACAGTAGAGACCCTCTGAATTTTGGCTTCCTTTCCTGATGCTGTATGACCTCACATAAATCTAGATCCTGCTTTTCCCCTGTGACTAAATGGAGACTAGTAACCCTCTTTGTATTTTCCCATTGGCTCAGGGAGAATATACTTGAACCAACTGTGTCTTTCTCTAGGAAGAGTAGCTAGATCGGGGGAAAAGGAACCTCAGGAGCTAGGAAGAGACCAGAGAGAATTTATTTCCATATATAAAAATACCTGTCAGGGATTATGGGTTCCTGCTACTGATAACCTTGGCCTATTTTCTTTTAAGGAGTTGGGTGATTCAACATGGCTTGTAGCAAATATGGGCCTCCCAGCACCATTCCCCCTTTTCCTGAAGCACTCAATTTTGGTATTTGACCTCTGTATAGCTAAATAATATTCTTGTACTACTACTCAGCCCTTTGAGTTTTTGGCTCTTGACTTCCCATAGTGGGAAATGTTCAATTCTACCTGTCTCGGACTTTCACCATACATAGACCCTAACTCCCTACCTTCACTGTGTAATTGGGTCTTAATTTTGCCAAAATCAATATTTAGAGTGCTTAAAAAATACTGAACTGCTGAATCCTGAATATATTACCACTAATCCATGCCTAAACTCTCTACCAGTTTGTCTGATTTCCTCTTAGGGAAAGTTGCAGAAGCAACCCTAATAAACTTGATTTATTAGGGAAGCATCACTCACAGTTTCTGATCTGCTCCAGTCTGGACATGCTCACATCTGAATCCTAAAATTTCCCACCATCATTCTGGGGATTTCTTACCCTTTATTGCAGCTCCTATTTCCTGTAGCCCACATTTTCATATTTTTCTTGGTTTGTTCCCTTATATTTTGTGGAGAATACCCTCTAGTAGCTTTTTCCTGAGAAAAGTGTGTTGGGGAGGATTTTTTTTTGAGACCTGGCACATCTGAACCTGTTTTTATATTCTGTCTTCACCTTTATGTTTGTGTATAGAATCTAGGTTCATATGATTTCCCAGTACTGCTTTTGGTGCCTGTGGGAAGTCTGGAGCTGATGCCTGTGCCCACCTATGATGATAGGTGAGTTGTTGGCTCCACTCTCCTGGGCTGTGTGGTAATAGTGAGACATTTTTCGTTGTCACCTTTGAGGGATTGCTACTGGCCAGAGCTGAGGCTGTAAACGTCCTGCAGTAACGGGAAGCCTCCTAACAACAAAGAGTTCTGTGATCTAGAATGTTACAAGTCCTGAGATGGAGAAGCCCCGGTCTCAGGTGACGTGGTTAGACTACCAGGGGGCATCCCTGAGAAGACCCAGAAAGATACAAGCCAGGCTCTCCGGAGGAGAGGTCACATCTTTCATCTCCCCATTTGTGGTACTGCATGCCTTGCTTTGTGTGGCTCCAATGCATGTGAATTGATTACCACGGTTTTAGGTAAATAACACCAGAATCCAATAACACGAAGTTTCAGTTGCTGTGGTCTGTTAACTGAGCAATTGTGTGAAGCACAAACTTCGATGCTCTTTGGTGCACAGATCTTACTGTAGAGCCAAGGTGCATCACGATCAGTGGCCCGTCGAGTCACGTCTTTCCAGGCCTGGTGGTGGGTTGCTGTGCATCTGCAGTTCACTCACAGGACCAAGCGTTGGGGGTAGTGCTGCCTCCTCCCTGTGGTGGAGCGATACCGTGGGCCTGAACACTACTGTTGGGTTGTGCTCCATTCTCAAATGTGGAGCTTGCTTCTTAGCATCAAACACAACTTTTACCTATCTAGTCAGTGGACAAAGAGGTTATTTCAACTTTTAACAGACTTTGGAACAGGTAATTGATGCTACACCTGTAGATGACAATTTCTTTAGCTGAGGTTTGGAGGAAGTTGAAAGCATTGTGGCAGAAATTAACAGGAATACCGAACGTGGCAGAAACTTACTACAACCTCAGTTAACTGCAGGATTCAGGTGGAGCATGAGTTGTGTTGGATGGTGGGAAGGCTGATGCTACTGCTGTCTGGGCGATTGTAGATAGGCAGCCAGAGGAACCTAGGGTGAACTTGTCAGCCTAAGTGAGGAAAGTGACTGTGCTGTGAAGGAGGCAGCCGCCCCAGAGGAAATGACACTGGCCAGAACCTCACAGTAGGGCTTGCTCGACATCTTTCACAACACAGAAAAAGGTACCGTGCGGGATTACTGGTCCAACATTACAGTAATCCCAGGCTTTCTGGTGTTTTAGATTACAGTGTACTAAATAAATAGTCGCACTACTTTTTTCATTTCCATATACATTTATAACTATTTTTGAATGTTTTGACAAAAATTTTTAGAGGTTACAGGGCAACCATAGTTTTTCCTGTTGATAATTATTAGGTCCCCTTGCATGGTCATTTTTATGGACCCACATCTGTTGTGCATTAGGGCTGCCTGCATGTTACCCTCACCCCTCTATCCCCTGTGTCCCAACCCGGGGACCCTCTGTTTGTACCCTTTATAAAATAAACTTCAGTGTAATGCCACATGAAGACAGATGCCTGACCACAACATGGGGCAAAGAATCCGAGGGCTTACCGCCGGCTGCTTAAAAAACTTTAATTATGGGGATTTTCAAGTATACATGAAAATAGAAGAATCTGTTGAAGAACTTTGCTATACCCATCATCCTGCTCCAAGAACAATCAGCATTGTGCTGTTTGATTTCTTCCTCACACATTGAAGATTTTTTACTGGATTATTTTAAAGCAAATCCCAAATACACATCTCACCTGTAAAATACTTCAGGATATGTCTAAAAGGTAGTGATTTGCTTCCATTTTTAAATGTTAACCACAGTGAGCCCTCTCTGCTTTAGACTTGGACACTTTCTGGTTTTAACCCCTTCTTTGTCTCTGCTTAGAGGTACCTTGTTCTCCAGTTTCCAAGCTGTTTAGTAGCCAGCTTAGTTAGCTTCAGCGTCCTCAGGGAAGCCATGTCTGTTCACATTTGTGGTCTATGGTTCCACAATTTTGTGGTTTTGTCTCCTTGCCTGTTGACTCTCTCTGCAGTAGTCCCTTACTGTCATTGTGGTGGCATTTCCGAGGGAGTTAAAGGTAAATGTTTCAATCTGTCTTTACCTAGCAATTATTGACTGATGTTTCAGTAGTTTTTTTTTAAAGCAAAAAAGTTATTGAAATGCTTAAACTGAAAATACTTGAACAATTAAGCATAAGAGGGAGAGAATGAAAAGAACCTCACTTGTTTTCTCTTTTCCCCAGTCCCATTACCCAAAGATAACTGTCAAGAGCTTTCATATCTTAGGCATTTTGTTTATGTATGTGCTCATGCATGCACGCATGTGCACACGCGCGCACACACACATGCGTGTGCAGAATCTTTCTATTTGAGAGATGAAGCTGTTTGTTGCTTGATAAAGCCCCCTTGGTGTCTAGAAGTTAAACGGTGTCATTCACAGAATAAACAGGTCAACGTTGAGTCATGTGGTTAACCTGCTTATTATAGAAGCTGAGAACTAGATTACACAAACACGTTACACAATCACGCACTTGTTTACTTGCAAGTTGCCATAACCCTTGCAAGCTGCACTAAGCTTTAGACTAAACCAGCACTTTCTGCAGTTCATTTCCTGGTTGATGGAATAAAAGGATTTGTTCTCACCCTACTTCACTCCACCTTCAGGCACCATAAAACTGCATAGAACAAAAGGTGACAAAGTTGACTCTTGCTCATTAAAAGCTGGGTTGTATTTCCTATAAAATCTAGTGGTATAGTGATGCCTGGGCTGTTAAAACCCTTTCTCCTCTGTGTTTGTGCAATGGATAAGATTTGCAAATATCAATTGCCAGTAGGCTTCTCTTGAAAAGTTGACAAAGGTCAGCTTAAACCAAACTTACTTTTGTGACAGATGGAGACTTTTGAGTCTGTATTAATAGAGTTAAAAAATAATTCCTAAAAACACCAGAGCTGCTGGTTGGTAGTACTTGTCTTTCTCATGACAGGGCTCTTGTGTAAACCCCTTTTGTTACACTCAGAGCTGATGCTGGATTTCTTCATCTTGTCGGGACACATGGTGGTGCAGTACAGAATGCTACTCATTAGGGGAGCAAGATGGTTATTTTCTGAGGACTGCTGATACTGTAGCCAGGCCTCGCCTCCCTTGTATT